TACGGAAATATAGCTTGGGGTAGTACCTATAAAACAAAACAAGAACCACTTTATCGTAAACAGAAGCATGCTATACGTGTGATTAATTTTAACGGAACACTCAAAACCTCTTTTTGAACAAATGTCTTTATTAACATTGTTTAAACTAAATGTAAATAATGTTCTAAGTCTTATGTATAATAGCAAAATGCAAAAAAGTCCTTCAATTTTCTATAGTCTTTATAAACAAAAACCAGAGTACAAATATTTATTGCGCACAAATAGTGCCTTCATGCAAAAATAAGCTTGAACAATTCAAAATGACTTATCGTGCACCTCATATATGGAATAAATTTTTACTGATTAATTTAAATAATATTGATTTAAAAAACTTAAATTGCTTTAAAAAAACTATTAAAAAGAGTATTTTAAAGTATAAAAATTTAGTTAGTTACTTTTTTTTAATTTATTTATAAATATTTTTTTTTTTATTTAATATAAATCATTCAACATTGCATTAGTAATAAATGTGTAAATATTATTTCAAACAAAAAAAAAAAAAAAAAAAAAAAAAAAAAACGATTTTTGTAAAAATGTATTTGTATACTTGTTGTCTGACATTTTAATACCATTATAATTTAATGATTTTATGTAAAAATTTTATGAATATGTTTTTATATTTACGGCAATGTAAAGCGGTTCTTCATGATTTGACCATTTGTTCTTCTGCAAGTTTTCCGCGTTCTTTTTACAGTGTTAGAGTGAATTTATTATTTTAGTAAAACCAGTATGTAATATTTTGTTTTTATTTATATATTCACTGTTAATGAATCTTTATTATGTAGTTACGAATTTGTAATATTAAGGAACAAAAAATAAACTTAAAATAAAAAAATAAAATAAAATAAAATAAAGCTAAAAGTTAAAGAATCAGAATGTTAACACGATGCGCAAAAAAGGTTCGCTGATAAGCAGTTCAGTATAGTTCACGGGCACTATTTTAATTTTTGACCAAAAAAAAACAAACAAACAATATTTTCACTTTTTCCTCTTGGATGCATATAATATTTTTTATATGCTATTACTTAAGAGTTGGTGTTTTACCAATTTATCGGACTTTCAATAAAAATTTCCCGATTTTTCCTAAGTCTCACTGTTCCTTTTAAACCTAAGTAATAAGTCATTTTTCTTAATTGGGGTAAGTTGAGCAGATTCGAAAAAAGTAAAAAAAACTTAGCTATCGAACACAAAGAAACAACTTTGATAAGAAATAACTTAGCGGTACATTGATTATATATAATTTTAAAATAAGTAATTTAAATCGGCCTTCTTTAAGGTTAATTGTTTAAATAAAATAGTATAAATGTTTATAAAATACAAATTAAAATGAAATTTATATAAAATATAAAATAAAATAGAATTAAAAAAATATTTGTTTGCAAATATTTTTTTAATTTTATTTTATTTAGCAAAGGTTTGTAAAATATGCAAACGCTTGCTGTTAAAAGAAGTTTTATTGATAATTTACCCAAGTTTTTTACTATGCATATTCATTCATTTGCTGATCGCTTTACTTCACACTATTGCTCGACTTACCCGCTGGGGCAAGTTGAGCAGATCTACAAACTTTAGGCTCTATCTTTTTTAAAAAACCAAAATCTTTACTTTTTTCTTAAGAAATTTTAGCTGGTTAAATTTAAAATGTCTTTAAAATGTTGAAAAAATAATGTAAACCCGACGCACCGTTCATGAGATCTCTTAGATTTAGTAAAAATTGCTCAACTAGCCTTGCTCTATCCTACCTGTTAAATCCTAAATTATGACATTGAGTTAAATAATAATAAAACTTTGTATAAAATATCAAAAGTTATATATATATATATATATATATATATATATATATATATATTATATATATATATATATATATATCGAAACATTGTTCTAAAAGTTTTAAAATTTTGTTAAAAGCTATGGCTGCAAATATTTATCAACATTTTAAGTTTTGTAAATAAAATCAAATAAAAATGATCTGTCATTAAGAAATTTTGAATGACGATAAAGGTATGAGAAACCTCATAAAATTTTTTTTTTTTTTGAGGAGAATGGGGAGGGCGGGGTGCACGGGTTATATAGTTGGAAAAAAAAGAACAATAAGATAACTAGGTAACCGTAAAAAACTGCTAGTAATCCTAAATTTGTGAAAAAATAAATTTTATTATTTAGATAATATATATATTTTTGAATTATGTAATTTTTTTTTCAACTTTTAAATTATTATTATTTATATGATATATTGAATTAAATACTTTTAAAACCTATTACATTTTAAAAATTCATATAGTTTATAAAAAAAATATAACTAAACTTTCTTATTTCTTTTTTATTACACTACATATTAGCTAATAACCACATATTAGTTATACCCGACATATTAGTTATATGCAACATTTTAGGTATATCCAACATTTTAGTTATATCCAACATATTAGTTAAATTAAAACGAGATATAACTAATATGTTATACTAATATTAGTTATATCTAAACGGGATATAACAAACATGGCGGAAACTTGGTCAATGTACATGATTTCTACGTTGTTTTGTAGATTTAAAAAATAAAACAAGTTTAATGAAAAAAGTTTAACTTTATCACTTTAAAAAAAAAATAGAAAGATTACCAATAAATATGATTACAAACTGAACATTACTGGCATTTCAAAATATTAAATATTACCAAAATAACTGTTTAACGCAACAAAAGCACAAGAATTCTAGTTCTGTTGTAACTATTTCTGTTTTCAACAGTCATTCTAATATTTCAAAATATTAGATTTAATCATTTAAACAAGTGATGAAAGTACTGTAATATTGTTGAACAACAAGTTGAGAAAATCTGCATTACAATATGCTTTGACGTTTTATATTATGTACATTTATCCACCATTGTTTAAACCAGCTTCTTTGCGCGTTAAAATCATTTTATTTCATTATTTAAGTATCTCTTAGGTGTATTTTTCATGTAATGCTTTTATTCCAGCATTTTTTTAGTACTTTTTTTGATATAAAAACGCAGAGTCTTAAATTTTCTTGCTAGATCTCGCTGTGACTGGTTCAGATTTCTTGCTATTATACTGTGAATCAACTTTACCTATTTAAATTTAAGAATGGTTTTCTTTCTTTTAGTTCAGGTTTTTCTTTCGAAATTTTAAGTAGTCTTAAACTTATTTATGATACCTATGATTTAGGATTTTGGGGCATTTGTACATTTAGTAATCGAGCAAAATCAAGTCGATGGATTTTAGCAAAAAAAATTTACAACGTTTTTATGAACCTCAATTTGTTTTTTAAACATTTGGCTAATCATTGATTTGTAAACAAATGTTTATAAACTCAATATAAATAAATTGAATTTTTTTTTTTTTAATTAGTAATTTAAATCAAACGAATTATCTTTAAATCAAACAAATTATCGTTAAATATTACTAAAACAAAATACACTTTATTCCATCGCCTACATAAAAAATCAGATATTCCCTTGGAACTCCCAGACCTTTTTATTGACAATCAATTAATAAAGAGAGAGCAATCAATAAAGTTTTTAAGGCGTGTTTCTAGACGAAAATGTAACCTGGAGGGAACACATGGGTGAAGTTGAAGATAAAATATCAAAAAATTTAGGAATAATGTACAAAGCAAAGCAGTTATTACATCGATCGTGTTTAAAAAACATTTACTTTTCTTTTATTCATTGCTACTTAAGTTATGCGAACATTGCTTGGTGTAGCACTAACGCGACAAAAATAAAAAAATTGCTTAGCAAACAAAAACAGGCTATAAGGATAATTTCAAACGTAGATCGTTTTTCACACGCAAAAACACTTTTTAATGAACTCAATATCCTAAATGTATATAAACTAAACCTCTATCAAGTTCTTATTTTCATGTTCAAACTTGAAAAAAAATATATTACCAATCTTATTTTATTCAACTTTTGAAAAAATAAATCACATATACCCTACAAGATTTTCAAAATACAACTACATTCAATCCAAAACTTATTATTCTGCTACTAAATTCTCTATTGTAAACCGAGGACCAAACTTGTGGAACATAATATTAAATAATGAAATGAAAACTAATTATTCTCTAAACCAATTCAAAACAAAACTTAAGCAATTACTTTCGTTAACTGAAAATGAATTAAATTTTTTCTAATAAAACTTCTTTATATTAGAAATCAATAAATAATTGTTAATTAATTAATTACTTTAGATTATTAATACATAATTAATCAACAATTGTACATATGTTTTTATTATTTTAAATGATAATCTTCTTTTTGAGAAATTTATTTTTTATTTTTGCGTTATTTATTAATCTTTTACTTTTATTTAACACTGTTTATTTGCTTTTACTTAATTAGCAATGAAAAGTATTATAAATATAATTAAATAAGTTAAACTATAAAATGCTCTACCAGTAAAATGTTTTTATATAAAATCATATCTTCTTATTTTTTCAAACCAAGTCTTAAATGTTATTTTTGTCATTTTAATATTTTATTAAATTTTGTTTCTTTTATTTTACAAAACAATTGTTAAACTTATTCTTTGAAAAACTATAAATTTTAAACGATATGCGATATATTTAAATTTTCTTTTATAATATAAATCAGAGATATATACATTAAAACTATATTTTATTGTCAAACTATATTTTGTCTAGTAATGACGCATTTTTGGGGCTTAATGATAAGACTAAATTTGTCTTCTTCTAGCCCCGGTCATGTAATTATTTTTTTTTATAAGTTACGACTGTAATTTTTTTTTTATCGGCAAAAGTGTAAATAAATAAAATAAAATAAAAAATATAAGGAATATAAGCAATGTTTAATTAAAAAAATAAAAATAATAAAAAACTTTCAAGGTTTCAGAGAATTCTCAATTTAAATTTGACCAGATTTTTTTGTGTCCGCTCGACAAATTTTCTTAAAAACAAAAAAGATTTAACAATTAAAATATTTGTAAAAAATATATTTTTATATACCAACATATCATTTTATAATAATATTTTTTTTTCTTTTCTACAAATAATAATATTCGAGAAAACTCCTCCGGTAGGTCTTTAGGAAAGTTACTTCTCGTAACTCATCTTTTAGCTAATCTTCATTTTTCATATTTATAATAAACTGTGTGTTGATAGTCTTGAATAGGTCTGCTGTTATCACACAGAAGGCCATTAGCTTCATGATTCGTGTCAGACTGTAGTTTTCGAAGATAGTTCATCTAAAATTTATAGACGAATAGGTAAAAATTGAATGTATTTTACATTATTATTGAATAAACAAAAATAATTTAAAAATAAATACAAAAATATTGTAGTTTGTGTTCAATAAAAAATTTTTGATCAACTTAAACCAAAAAAAACTACACAATGCTTTTAATAGTCTAAAAAATAAAAGTGCAAATAAAGACCTAATTAAATCTGTTCTGGATATTATTTAACCATCATTACTTCATTTTTGTATTCTCTGACTTAAATCAGGTTGTATTCCGGATAAATTAAATATCAATAAAACTTTACCGCTTTATAATTCTGACGATGAGAATAATATTTCAAGCTACAAACATAAAACTTGTCATTTCAAAATTTATTGAATGTATAATGTATTAATAAATATTTAAATGAAAACAATATGCTATGCTGAAAACAATATGCAGTTCTCTGAAACCAATTTAGTTTATAAAAAGAATCATTTTACAGCTGACGCAATAATATAGTTGGATAAACATATACATATATTTTTTATAAATTTATCGAAGACTTTTGGCATTTGTTTATTGAAAAAAACAAAAGCAAGAATACAATAGAATAAAAACTAAAACTTAAAACCGTTATTATTTAAAATTTTTATAAAGAATTAACTTTAACATTAACAATATTAAATACTTTTTTGTTTGCAGGTAAATTTATTCTTTATTATTCTCACAAAGATATTAAGTTTCTACTTAAAATATTTAACGAAAAATGAGATAAAATATAAATAGGTTTATAAGTAATAGACATATGTAATCATAGAATGTATAGGAAATTAAATTTATTTAATTACATTACCCCAAAAAAAATTTCATTTTATTTACCAAACTTTGGATTCAGAAAGTATTGATTAAAAAAGAATCAGTCTAATTCAGTCAGAATTAGAGTAATTTTAAATAAAAATCTTAAAATTCTCAAACTGAAACTTGGTAGATCAAATTGATAGATAATATTCTCATAATAATATAATGATATTTATTTTTGAATACTTATATGGTCTAAAATTTTTTTTTATTGTATGTAAAAAAAAAAATTTCTTTAATCGTGGACTACTAAAAAAAACTTTCCATTTGTACTAGACATGTACCAAAGGTGTATTGGCTGTGTAACGCAAGTGTGTTTGATATGGAAACTAATTTAAACTAATGTTTTTAATTCACTGCTTTTAAACAACTTTTGATAAATGTTTTCAATTTTTAACATCAAAAGTTTAACTTTTTAACTTCTAAAAAAAATTAAACTTAAAAATTTCTTGAATTAAACTTAAAAAATCAACTTACAAAATCTTGAATCCAAACTATCAAGTTTGACAAAACACGCTGCATTAGCACACTCACACACTCACATACATTCGATCTCTTTTAAAACTTTGTTGTAATTTTAATTATTAGAACTTGTGAAAATTAATTTAAACTTTTAATAAGTCAAAACTCCAAAACAATCTCTTTATATACGCATTTTGCTACGTTATAACTCGATTTCAATAAAGTAAATTTGAAACTTTCGTAACACCTATGACACACCTTCGTTACATCTATTATTTATACATAGCTATCTTTTTATTCTAAAATTGTCAGGTAAAAATCATTCTAAACTAAAAAAAAATCTCTATAAAAAAACAAAAAATGTTTGCAGGGAAGTATTTATTACCAACAGAAATGCTAAAGGAGAATGCCTAAAGTTTGATATAGTTATGAGCTTAAAATTTACCAAGTAATGTTATTTATGTTTAATGCGAATTGTAGCTTATCTGCAATTTCTTTTAAATTTACTTCAATGAAATTTCTTGTTAATATCCTACCAAATTTTCAAAGAAAAAATTTAGCATTCTCTTAGCCCATCTAAAAACAAGTTCCTGTTAAGCAAAAAATGGTGGGTGTAATTTAAGATTTTTTTAATTTTTTTTTAATACTATTTTGGTGTATTTTAGTTTTGATTTAAATTTTTGTTATATTTCTTAGTTTATTTCATAGAAACAATGTTTTCTGAAATATTTTGCTAATTTTTCGTGTAAATTCGCCATTTTTTTAAATTTTTTTTATGCTTTAAAAATTATAATATGTTGAAAAACCTGCACGTGTTGCAGGATTTTATCAAATGTTATCTATTTTTTATAATTCTTAGTTTAATTTACATAATTTAGTTTAACTTACATAATATACATAATTTATGATAATTAGTTTAATTTACTTAATAAACATAAATAAATAGTTAGTTTCATAAGCATAAGACAATTTTTCTTCTTGTTTTGCCAGGTTTTGAATTCCTGTAATTTTTTTTTTTTATTGCATATTAGCTAGGGGTACACCGATGTATTAACATACGGCAAGACAAATAATAAAAAAAACGTAAAATAATTTTTTATTTTATTTTATCCAATTGTAATTAATGACTTCGAAATAAATGATAATTTTGCAGAATTTTTCTTTATCATTATTAATATTTTTTTTTTTTTTTTTGTTTTATTAAATTTATTTTGTTTTAAGAAAACTAAGAGAATTTTTTTGCAGAATCGGACATTCTGAAAACATGCAAAGACATCGTACGTACATTAAACATTTGTATAAGTTATGTCTTTCTATTAATAAATTTTTTTTGTAGGTATGGTAAATATTATAAAACCGTTTCTGTTGAGGCAAAGTCGGTTATTAAGCAAATAATTGCTCCATGGCATGTAATATGAATTCACAAATGCGTTGTGTAATACTATAATCAATCAGCCAAAACAACACAAATCAAAATGTAATTAGTTAAATAAATTGAAAAAAATCTTTTTTTCTGATTAAGGAAAACTTTTCATTTATATCCCATACAAACATTTTTTTATAAGTTTATTAATTTAGTTTTTTATTATAAAATTAAAGAATGATAGAAATAACTACCATATACGTATTGGCAAAATATCATTGAAATTTTCTAAAATACCTTTATTACTTTTTCAAAATTTAGTTCTTTTTTATCAGTAATATAGTATTAATGCTTCTTAAAAAGTTTTTGACAACATTTTATTCTAAAGTTATGTTAAAAGATTATGTGATATTGCACTCGTATCTTCTGTGAGCCCTAGTGTGCTTTTAAAAACTTTTTTATTGATATATACTATGTAAAATTTATCTGCAGTTTGTTTTATTTAACTGCAAAATATCCCTAAATAAAGGCGTTGCGTTTTTATACCCTGAATTTTAATACGAATCCTCTCATTATATTTTGCTAAAATAAAACACATTTTTTTTCAAATTAATTTAAATATAATACTTGCAAACCCTAACCCTTACTGTAGTTTTATAGAAATCATATAAATACGAAATAATATAGAAATAATTTATAATATGTGCATACTTGCATATTATTAGAAAATAGAGCACAAAAACGAAAAATTGTTTGTAACGGGTGAACATTTGCTTTAAAATTACCAACTTACAACTTTTCAAAGAGAAAGTGATCAGTTTGTAATTGTATTTAGATATGACGCAAAACATTTAAAATAATTATTCATTCCTTGAAGTTTGTAAAAATTGTTTAATTGAGCAAAATATTGTCAGAAAGAAAGTAAAATTAAATTTCAAAATCGTTAAAATATCTATTTCATGTTAACCGAGAAAATATGCAGCTAATCTATTATCTCATCAGTCTAATAATAATAATGAGATTTAAAACTATGCAGTTTTTAGAATTTTCAATTGCGTTAGTGGTGTAGTGGTAGAGCGCTCGCCTCATAAGCGAGAAGTTCCGAGTTAAATAACATTATATATCTTATATATTTAAATATACTATTATTGTAAATATATTTTAAAAACCTTTATTTTTAAATGCTTAAAATTGATCATTGTAAATAGTATAAATTAAACCAAAACATTATTGCAAATAATAAATGCTTACAAAGTCTTGTTGAACCGGTTTAGGATCAGCTATAACATTCCAGTGCACCCCCTCAGTACAAGGAGGAGTTGTTAAAGAACCTCTGTAAGAAAAGTAGTTGTTAGTTCCTGATTCACCATAAATATCCTCGGGTAGGAGGCTTTTTAATATATCATTTGAGGATTGAAATTTTTCTTTTTCTAAATAAATATTTAAATGATCAGTTCTCCGTTTTGTAACTTATTATTAAAAAATAGAAAAATAAGAAAGAAAAAAAAAACTATCGAATCGAAGAATTTTACTTGATAGCAACAGATAAGCAGGAGATTCAAAATCATTATTTATTTCATTGCTTGGTATTTGTTCGTTCTAAAAAGACAATACTTGCACTAATAAGTTTTGCTAAGTAGACAAATTACTTTTTCTTTTTCACAAAGTTTATAGTTTTAAACATGAATGATTTGAAGCATAATTAAATTATTTTAAGCATTTTTAAGTAACATGAAGCATAATTAAATAGTTATAATATAAATAATACGCGTAATTAATCAGTTCTAAGTATAACTGAATAATTAATTACAACAGCAACATTTTTATTTTATTAGTTAAAAGAAAAAAATATTACAAAAAGAACACCAACAACAGAAAGCACTCCAGTATTGTCTTGGAAAACAAAGTGCACCTTTAACAAAAATAAAAAGATTTCATGTTTATTTTAAAAAACAATGATTTTCAAATAAATATATTTTAAATTATAAAATCAAAACTAAGGTGTACCTCCAAATCAAACGCTTTTCCGTCAATACGATGTTCAGAACCTGTTTTTCTTTCTTCTTCTAAATTGCATCCGAAATGAAAATGAATCTGTTGTAAGTTGTACTCTTTTGAAGTACTTGAATCAAAAGCAACCAATTTGGGTTTATTTTTTCCAATTGACAATTGCAGAGTGTGCCCATTATTTTTCAAGGTAGAGGAAGACTCTCCAGGAAAAGTTATTTTGATTCTTGTAGCCTGATTTCTGAGTTTTCCTTTAACAGACTTTCTGTTTTTAATAATATTTATTGGTGATTGAAAATTGCCATCACACTGAACATTAAATTTTCTCCAATAGTTAGGCCCTTTAATAAAACAAAAAACATAATACTTTGAACTACCAAATGTTAGTTTATAAACATTTTTATAATTAGAACAATTTTTTTTAGATATATAATATTTGATAGTAAATCATTTACAAATAATTATAGAAATGATATTATCTGAAAGTAACAAAGATGGAAAAACAATCTGCATAAGAATATTAACTGTCTAGCAGCAAAACTGGAAAGGTTATTTCAATATTATATATATATATATATTTATATATATATATATATATATATATATATATATATATATATATATATATATATATATATATATATATATATATATTTATATATATATATATATATATATATAGAATATTTAATATATAGATTAGCAGCTAATTGGCTATTAAACCTAATATACCATATAGTGTAACTCAATTAAAAAAGATTTATGTAGGATAATTTTTATTGATATTTTGATTTTTTTGACTACAAAAGCTTTTTAAAAAACTATGCTAGTATTTATTTTCGTTGCTTATATTTTTCCTTTAGATAACATTATGAGGACAAGTTGAAAATAATGGTTGCATAAAAAAAAGGCTATCATAATAAGAATGTAGTTTTGCCTTCACTCATACTGTTTAAAAAAGCTTTACATTACTTTTTTAAATTAAATTTTTAATTAAATTTTCTAGATCTTTTTTAAATTTTTTACATTACTTTTTTAAGTTATGTAAATCATATTTATAATATACACTTTTTAAAAATGGAAATTAAGATAAATGGTTTTCAATTGTTTTATTTGCATCTAATGAGGCTCATCCAATTTATTGTAGAGTGCTGTGTTTCAGAGCATGTGATTACGTTTTTTATCTTAATGGTAATGTTTGACCAGAATAATATTTTAATTTAAACATGACGGAAGTAGAAGTTGAAGAAAATTTTTCAAGCAACTAAAGATGATCTTTTACTTTCTGTTGTAAGCCTACCTACCCATTATAAAGTTTCAGTTGTATTTGCTTGCAAAGTGCTTCACCTACTGTCAGGATAATTGTTAGTTACGTTCAAAGCAATTTTCAAAAAAACCATATCAACTATATCAGCTGATTCTATGGTTTATCCTCTATGTTTAACAATACAAAACAGGTTAGAAGCCGTTTTACGTTAACTCAGGTCTGCAAATAAACAATATATATTTTAGCAATATGCTATAGATTCATGTGTCAAATTTGAAAAGCAGCGTTTAATTTTCATCAGAAGTTTCTAAAATAAAATGTAAGGCAAGAAATATAATACCTTACAAAACAATTTAAACAACTATGTAAATGATTGTTTATTGTTTAATTATTTATGTTTATTTGATGAGACATTCATGGTGTGGCTGGATTGCTTAGTTGGTTAGAGTGTCAAACGAAAAAAAAAAGATTTAAAACCCGAACTGTTGTACAATACGGATTCCTGCCACCACCAACTCGGCGCTTGAGAACTTCTTTTGTACGCAAAAGTTTTGGTCAATAACGGATGCTACTTTTAATTATTCTTAATGACTATTTGTGGCTGTTCCAATGCTAAGCCAACAATATCTTCGAATATAACATTGTAAAGCAAAAGATTGCATGAAAATTTAAATAAATAAATAAAAATAAAATAAATAAATGATTCCCAAAAATGTCTTAAATATAAACGGAGGTGTATCAAAGATGTTAACCGCAACAACTTTTTGTAGTCAAATACTGACTGATATGAAAATAGCTGAAATTTTAAAAGCGTGGGTAAAAGTTTCTTTGCAATCGTAATGAGTTTATAGAGAAAAAAGGTATACATTTCTACCTTTAAGATAAATCACATATCCTACCCTTTTAAGTTGAAAGTTATACTTTTAAGGTTAAATCTGTACCAAAATTGGTCTTATGTGGTGTAATTTGTTATTCTATGGGTATAATATTATGAGTATGGGTATATTATTATGGGTATGAGTATAATATTATAGGTATAATAATATGGGTATAATATCTACCTTAGAAAGTTTAACTTTTTAACTTAAAGGGTAGAATATGCGATTTACATTAAAATAAGGGGTAGAATATGCGTTTTACATTAAAATAAGGAAAATATGCCTTTTAAGCTATTTCTATGCCGTTTTTTGATTACTCTTAATTATATTAGATACATATAAAATAATCGGGTTTTTTTAATTACTTTTGGGGTTTAATACATATTACCAATAAATACTGATAGGATTAAGTACTTTTACAAATTTTGAAATTTAAATTTTAGTTACTTATATTCAGTAGTGTAATTAGAAACTATTCTTTGCATTTTTTCTCAGCAATTATCAACTCAAGACTATAACCTTAAAGTTCATTTATAAAATATAATAGGTTACGGCATTAAGCCGTAACTATAATAGGTAGACGTAATTCTAGTTAGGACACATTTTTTGTCAATAATGATAATAAAATTCTGGAAGTTGAAATAATTTAGAGGATGCCAATTTCCTCTGCGATTAAACTCTAATTACTCTTATATCAATACTTATGCTAAACGTCTAATTGTGTTTATTCCAAATACTCTGTATTGTTTAGTATATTCTAACATTAACTATACTATAATCTATATTCTGATCATATTAACTATGTTACCATTTTTGTTAACATCACTTGTTCCCATGTTGTATGAATAAGATAAACCATTAGATCGTTTGGTTGCATTTGAAAGTGAATCAATGTTCATTAATTCTTCCTGGCTTGCATTAAGCTCATTGTCAAAATTTGCTAAAAAAGAAATATTTCAAAAATTATGATTTTATTGTTTAAAAATGCATTCCAATATATTAGCAAAGGTATTTAAATTAATAAAATTATTGAGAAGGATATTAATACTAGTGCAAAACACCTTGTCCCATTGCATTATTCACTTATAGAAAAAATGTGAAAAATGAAATTTGAACTCTGAATTTATTTACAAATAATTTCAAGACATTTTAAATTTGGCAATTCTGATTGGTCGGAGTTATTGCAATCAGAGTATATTATTGATAATCAGAGTAGATTGCAAAAAGGAAACTGATTTATGTGGATAAAAAATCAGAACGGCAAAAATTTAAATAATTCGAGATGAAAACAAAGAAAAAAAAAGTATTTAAATAAGTAGTTTTTATTGAATGAAAAAATTCAAAAAAACATTTGTAGTAATTAATCTTTAGTATTTAATTTTTAGTAATTAACCTTTAGTAATTAACTTTTAGTAATTAATCTTTGAATGAATGAATTTGATACTCTAATTGCTTTTAAACACAGTTTTCGTTCACTTAGATCTAATAGATTTCAATTTTATATTTTAAAATAAACAACTGTTTACAATAAACGTATAAGATCTTTTACATGTTAATTGTAAAAGTTCGTTTAAAGATTTATTCATAAATAAAAATATGTTTACTATATAAATATATACATCTGTGTTGATATTTTTCCTTTATAAATCTATCTCCTAATCTTTTATTTTCCATAGCATAACTTTTATTAATTTAGCGCATATTAGCGATAAATTACCAAAATGGATATATTATATATAATACTACAATTGTAAAACAAAATTTAGTTAGCCGGAACAGCATTTTCGAAGTTAAGAGAGTTAATTTTAATTTTAAACCTTCTGATGTTTTTGGTATTAACAAGGTCAGACAGCAAGTTTTCCAAATATTAACAACCCTGAAGGAGAAAAAATGTCTATGGACATTGAGTTTACACATTTTGCATAATTAAAATTTGCAACCTTAAGTGTAAATAAAGTTGCTTATTAAAAAGAAACTTGATGTATTAAAGCAAACTTTATTTTCAAAGTAATCACAAGCTTATATTCCAACTTTTCAAAATAGACTCGGTGCCAGGTATCCAAACTCGGACCCGATATCTTCTTCCAGGTACTAGGAATTGAAGACTCTGCTTAATTTAGTCCCGGCACATCTCTAATAATAACATCGAAGAGGTTTTTGGTATGTCTAGAAAGACCACCAAAAGACCAAAAAAACAAAATTTATCGTTAGAGATTTAACTAAAAACCAATGATTTATTGCTTCGCAATTAAGAACAAACATACTGAAATACCTACTTTCCTGTTTATATAAGTTTCGGAAACCAGAGACGTGTGCACCGACCTTGCATTTTTCATAGATATAATCTATGAAAAATGCAAGGTCGGTAAAATATATGTTTTAGTTTTATAAGTGCTGAACGAGGAAATTTATATTTTCTCAACTAAGATTTAAATAACAAACTCCTGACGCTATATTAATTGTAATTAAAGTTATGTAATTTTTAAAATTAAAGTGACCATGAAGCTATTGCTCACCAAAATTAGATGACGGTGACCCTTGGCGACGGTTTCGACGTTAATATGTGATTTATTTACATTTGTAAAAAATAGTAACTATTTTTAAAATCTTTAAAAAGTTTTGAATTTTTTTGAGTACAAGGTTAATATCCTTTTGCAAAAAAGATAAAATTACAGATCAGTTGGGATCCCTAAAAATATTTTTTATTCAAAAAAAATTATACCATCTTTTTTAGGAAATCTTGTTGTATGTTTGAATTGTACAGCTAAAATTCTTTTTTATTTTGACTCACCTATATATTTTTTTTTAATTGAAGTTTATATTAAAATAAGGGTTTAATGTCTTTACTTGGCTTTTCCAGATAAAATTTCAGCTAAGCTTTTTCAGATCAATGCAACTTTAAGCAAGTTTTTTCATATGAAATTTTTTTTTTGTTCCGTCGTTGTTACCTTAATGTGAAGCAGCGCGGAATAAATAACACTTTTTTTAACCGCCGACCTTACAATATTTCAAATGGATTAATCATTAACTTAGTTTTTCCTTTGCAAATCAAAAAAAAAAAATTTTAAATATTGAATTATTTTACTTTTTATACAACTTTAATTAAAATTCTTTTAACTCTTTAAAGTCTTTTTATTAAAACTCTTTTTTTAAAACCTAATTTTAATTATTATGGTGTTACAAATAAGAATGTCTTCTGCAGTTATTTGGTAAATACGACTGCTGAAATTTAAAATGCCTCAATGAAAAAAAAGTTTACTTGGGCACAAGAACTGGGAAATATAATATAATTATATATTCAAAAATCAGAAATATTATATACTTATTATAAAAAATGTTAAAAATTAGTAATGCTTTGCAAAAGAACGTTCATAATCATAGAGCTATTTTAAAAATTATTTATAGTAAATTTAATCGAAAAAAAAAATAATTTACCGCTGTTTTCTTGACTTATAGTATTGCCACGAACCAGTGAAGAACAAACAATCGTGAACAACATAACCAACTTCATCTTGCCTTCAAGTTAGTTTCTTTAGACTCTGAATTGTATTTAGTTTACTAAAGTTTAAACAATGAAGGGATT